AGCTTAAATGGGTGCCTGACAGGTGCCAAAGCTAGAGCCTGTCCTTGTGCACAAAGTCTGGAAATTAGTGGCAAAAGTTAAATTCAGACAGAGGGTAGGGTGGACAGGAGGAATTTTACACGCAATAGTCAGTTTACTGGAAGGATGCCTGCCAAACTTCCTTATCTAAAATATTTGTTTATCTAAAGTTATTGAAAAGGGATGGCAAAATATATATCTTATTAGTAATTACCATCTGGATATCCCTAAGGATCATTAAAAGAAAAGCACACAAACTGTTTCCTGTCTAGTGTTCAGGAATTCAAAACATATCCAAACAATCAATTGCAAACTAAGGTCTACCGTCACTAAGACTCCCAGTTATTTTTTCTGAAATGCTTCCTGTACAACAAACAAAAATTCAAGATGTGTTAAGCATTTCTTAGCATGAAGATACAATGATGGGAAAAGCATGCCTTGCTCAGATTCTGCTTCTCAAACAGCGGTTAAGAGTTTACAACCCCCAAAAGAGTTGGTAACCATAACACTCAGTTAACAACTGTTTGAGTTCAGTAAGTCTTCTTGGTTTAATAAAGCTTTTATTTCTCATCTTTCGTTTAGGAAATCTCTTATCAATTCCTGATGAGAGGATTCAATGTTGAAAAAGGGGACAGACTATTATTTAAAGAAAGTCTGTTGACTGTATATGTCTGTTTTATATATCGCATACTTGCTCTTTGCCCACCCTAATTTTCCTCTTAAAGAAGTCCATACCCCATTCTGAAAATGCTTATCAGAAAAATTAAATAATATTTAAAGGGTTATTACTAGAGAATAGCTTTCCAGGATTCAACAATGTTACTACAGAAGAAATGAATCCATGCAGTCAACCATTCTGCCATGCAGCTCTACCTGATGTGAGATTATTCTGCTTTACCCTTGATAGGATGATACCTGTTTCCCAGGATAAGGAAGCTTATCCTACAATAGTGTGGGTATGAGTATGAGGTCTAAGCATGAAATCCAGTAGTGTCTTCTCATCACTGGTGACCTTCCACAAAAGACTTGGGGCACTTGCAGGAAAAGGAGGAAGAGTAAGTCCTGTTGCAAGAACAGCAGTTCATGTGTGCCATGCTGGATCTTTCCCTAAGACTGCTCCCTTTCTAGAAAGACAGTAGAAAGGAAATTTGGGTATCTCCATGAAGCTTCAGTGCACATAACTGTAAGGAGAAGTGAGAAATATACTGCTATACATAAAGCTGAAGTAAACAGGTAACAAAAGGAAAGCATGAAATCCGGAGTATCCCTATTCACATGAAATCAACCTAAGAAATAAAGCTAACCATTTCTGAACAGCCATGAAGAGGAATGGTAAAGATAAAAAGACACATGCAGTTGCAATCAGCTATTTCAAGACCTTTTTACATATAATATTGTTTAAAGACACCTCTTAAATTGTTATTATTTCAAACCAAAATGAATTAATATAATGGTCCCTAATTCAGTAAAAAATGTCTTTCAACTGTGATATTCTTTCTCCAAATCATATAACATGACATGCTTTATTTAATAAATGACCAAATACTAAATTTAAGCAAGCTAAGAAAAGGTACATGATCCATCCGTAAGACAACTATCTTAAAATCTGACTGAACTCCTGCTCAATCAACAGAGATACTCTTGCTTATAGGAAAGAGAGGTAGCTCTGCTCTTATATTTTCAATGTCATGTAGCCAGGAAAAGGTTACAATTATACAAATACTAATGTCTATTAGAATGCAAAATGATTTCCCTATTGACTTTTAAATGAAAGGAATCAACAGTGCAAATATTCATTACTGGTATAACTCAAACTAGGAAGAACTGATTACATTTTCAACTCACTGTTAAACAGCAACAGTTCATTGGGCACTACACAGCAGAAACGGACATACTCAGTAACACAATCATATTCACCCTTAAAATCAGAAATTCTCAACATCAGATTCATTTCCAAGAATTGTTACATATCCTTCAGAAAATAACCTATCCAGAAAACTCACGAGATATAAAACTGCAAAAGCAAGCACAACCAGGGCAAAGCTTGCTATAGGCCGATGTCATTAGTAGCCTCTAGAAGTCACAGGATTCATGTTATTTTCTACTATATGTAATGATATATTAATTTCACATGGAGCATCATTCAAATATTAATTCAAAGGTTACAAGAAATATACAATGAATCTGGAGTTCATTTGAAGTTTTTTAGAAAGCAATGGTCTCCTGTAAATAAGGCGTACAAATGTGGATCCCACAGAGAACTCCTTCTCACATCTGCTGCAGCAGAAAAAGAAAGAATGCTTAGAATGGTTCTCTAGTTTCTAACACAAAATGCCATTCCTAGGAAGCAGTACTCAAAAGTTCCTGCATCTTTCCTAGGATGCTCAAGGAACATGTTAAGAATGAAGCTTCTATGGCAGGAACCATGCAGCCTATTCCTAGGTTTTTTTTCTTTTCTCTTATTACATGGCAACAGAGGGAAGTTAAATTGTATATGTATGTGGGCGAAGGGGGAAGTAACTGGGCATGAGTAAGGGAGGACGTGGATGTGAGAAGGACACCTGTGAACCACAGCCCTGACAGTGTACCCCCAGGAAAGTGCAGTACAAATTGCCTACATGTCTTAAACTAAAGGTTTTTAACTATCAGGATTCAATCAAGACAAATCACAATGTGCATTAGACAAGTGCACATGTGTCATTGTATGTAAATGTGTGTGTTCATGAACACGTATGTGGTACACCCACCCACAAGGAACCCCCAAAAGCCCTCAGGGCCAAATAGGTTGCACACCCCTGCTGTAAATCACCTGCACAAAAACCAATCTTTTAAAAATATTTATTGTTGACAAGAATGTTACATGTTTTCATTCCCAAAATTGAAATGGCTGTACTTATACTTAGGACTAAATAGTTTTAAAGGCTCTCTTTATTTAAAAATATTTTAAGTACGTTTCTTATTGGCACTGAAAAATAAAGTTTACAATGTGTAATTGTACTCACATAAATTTCTTTAACTGCACAGTAGCTGCTCCAGTAACTGGCAACAGTAAAAGTGCCATCCCAGGTGGCTGCCCAAACTCATAGGCTTACAGGTTTCCAAGATGGAAGGAGTGTGGAAATGAGGATCACCCTGGTGTTCTTCCTGACCTCCAATACCTTGGCCATCTAAGTGCCTGATGCTGGCTCACGAGGAGAGGAGCCGCTGGCACCGTCAAGATTCCTCAGTGCCGTCAAGATTCCTCAGTGGGGGGCACCTCACTTCTCTCCAGGTCCCCCAGGATGTCCCCCAACACTGGCTCAGAAAAAACTGTGCAAGCTGCAAAGTTGGGTGCTCTAAATTTGGAGTCCAAACTCGGGCCTTGAAGTGCTGGGATTCTGAATTATCTTATAATTCTATACAGTGTCTTGGTTAGGCTGAGAGTCAGTGGCTTGTTCAAAGTCACCTAGTGACATTCATGGCTAGAAGCCAAACTCCTGAGTCCCAGTCCAGTGTTCTTAACAAAGCTCCATCTCAGTGTAGACTGGCCAAGGGATATCTCATTGCTGCCAATGTATATGATGGAGAGTCTTCACAAACCTAGTATTTTCTAGGAGGATCAGGCCACAAGTCCTATCACTCCCAGCCATACCGGATGGGGTTGATGGAGCTTACAGGTCAACACATATGGAGGACATCAGGTTGGGCAAGGCTGTTCTTGTGTGTATGAAAAGGGTGCATGAATAGCCATTTTAAATTGGAAAAAAAAATTTTTGACAAACTATTTTCTCCCAAGACCTATTTGAAGGACCAACAGTAAAAGTTAAATATATATAATAATGCAAGTTACATTAGAATTGAAACTTTAATGTCTTCAATTTGATACTGTGTATCTTTGGTATAAGATGGGGGATACCTGCTTTAGCAAAAGAACACATGAAACAGATCTTGGAGGTGTAGATCACAAGCTGAATATGAATCAGCAGTGTGATATGGCAACAAAAAAGGCAAAGTCAATTTTAGGTTGCACCGATATACGTACAGTTTAAAAATATATAATGGGATGGAAGAGTTCCACTTTCTGTCAAACCTCATTTCAAATATCATGTCCAGTTCTAGACACCATACTTTAAAGAGTCAGATAAATTGGAGCAAGTACAGAGAAGAGAAAGAAAAGCTTAGCAGGCTGGTATGAACTAATTATTCTAAGGAATGGAAGGAACTGATTATGTTTAGCCTTGAAAAGAGTTATGATAGCACTTCCCAAGTATCCAAAGGGTTTTCACACAAAAGACGACGACCACAACTTGTTCTACAGACACCTAAGGTTCCAGGACACAAACTCTCTGACACCAGAGATAGTTAAGCAGAGACTGACAACCATGTGCCAGGGTTGCTTTAAACTGGACTCCTGCATCTAGCAGTGGGCAGGCCTCAATGGCTTGAATGGCCCTTTCTATGATCTTTCTCCAAGAATTAAACTGGGAAATAATCTTGAAAAGCAGCTTGGATCGATGCTTAAAATGGAATAATGCGGATACAGCGCGCCCCCGCCACATTCCCTTGCTTTCTCACCTATTCGTGCAGTTTCTAAAATAACAAAATGCACCCCCCTTTGGAGGGAGCATTCGTGCTTGCGGGGGTCTCTTTTCCCACTCCTCATAGCCAAGTTTTCCTTCCCAGTCCCTTCCCTTCCCTTCCCTTCCTTCAGCGCTCAGCGTGGCCCACGCCGTCCGTTTGCGCCCTCGTCCCAAAAGGAGGCTGCCCGGCCCCGCCCCGCCCCGCCAAGGTCGGCCAGGAGGTGACCGCGCGGGTGAAGCCGGGGCGAGCGGCGGCGGCGGCAGCGCGCGCGGACAGCCGCGCGGCTCGAGACGGCGGGGACCCGCGACCTCCGCGCCTGCCCGTCCGCCCCTCGGCGCGCGCTCCGCAGGAAGAGGCGCATCCTCAGAGAGCCGGCGCGGCGGGGGCAGGCAGGGAGCGGGCAGCGCAGAAGGCCAACTCACCAGGTCAATGAATGTCAGAAATTTCCAGCTACCTCCGTAGGTCTGGTGCGCGGGCATGTCAATGGCCTTGTAGTTGCACAGGATTGAGAAATAGGAGAGGAGGATGGCGACCCTCAGCACCTGACAGGGCACGAGCGCCATGACGACCCCTTCGTAACTAGAGGCGGCGGGGGGGGGAGGGTCTCCGAATGCCGAAAGAACCGGCAGGGACGCGCTTGGACGCCTTCTCACGTGTGTCTAGAGTCGTGCGTCCAGCCGCACATCGGCGTCTTCCAAGCCGCAGGAGAAAGAGTGGGAGCGAAGGCATAGACTTATAATGTATAGAGGTACGCACCTCACGAAAATTCTGGGGTCACATTGAACGCCGTGTCTCGTCTCCCCTCGTAGGGAGCAGAGTAGTGATAAGAGCTGTGCAGTAAGAAAGGTGAAGTTGTAGCATAGCTGCGACTGGCAGCGCAGGTGTACCTCTCTTCCCTGCTCACCCCAATTCTCACAAGAGAAGGGAACAGTAAAGCGGGGTATAGAGGGGAGGTCGTCGTGCTCTTCATAATTAATGTCTTTACGTAAAGGTCTTTTTTTTTTTAATTTGGAAGTTCTTAACCGTTTAAAACTTCACCTGGCTGCATGTGAGCCAACGGAGCAGAACGCTTCTGTGTGCAGTGAAGCGCGAGACTTGGGGTGGGGGAAAATGTCATGCAACCGCGTTAACTTGGTGCAATCAGAACGGCGAGATGGTGAGCTGCTTATCCGAACTAGCTTCAGCTCCAGCCCCGACACCAATCCCAGCCTGCATTATTATCCTAGTGCTATGTTGCAGGGCTGCCTCTCGCTCTCTGCCGCAAGCCACACACACGTGAACTGAGCGCATGCATACACCAAACATTTCCTACAAGAAATAGAGATTGGCTTATTAGGAGCTTTTAGGGCGATCCTTTTTTCTGAAGGACCCGTTGCTACCCAACTGAAGCTCTGGGAACATCCTGGAGCTCCCCATTGTTTTTGGGGTGGCTTCCATTCTGTGAATAGGAAAAAGAACACAATAGTTCCACCTCCAACTAATTGGATTGCCTTGCTGACTCTCCACTTTTCCTGTCTCTATAATCAAAGGGACAGAATGCTATTGGTTTCAAAGCCGGACTTCCGTGTTCTGTTCGCGTCCCGACAGGCGCCTCTATGTGGCGCGTGGTGCTTGTTGGGCCCACGAGGCCACTGGAAGTGACTGATGAGCAACCTAATGTGTCTTCCCTCTCTTGGGAATAAGCCTCAAGTCTACGGAAACACTTCGTTTTTAATACGCATGGAATAAGTACTAATATTTTGACAGGTTTTTTTACGACAAATACTTGCAGTGTTAAGCCTTTTTTGATCTTCATAATCCCACCACCCATCCTGTAGCACTTTCCTATAATGCTCAGGTGGGTGTGCAAGACCCTGCCACCTTGAGAAGTCATTAAGTACAGACCTACTATAAATAAATAATACATTTCTTTAGAACATTTGATACTGCATATTTTCATTTTTCTTCATCACTTTTTGTAACAGGCATGATGCCTAATTTCAAACTTTCTTTTCTGGTTCATTCATGAAATCTAGCTAGGATGTTTTTGTTTGTTTTAGGTCAGTTAAGGAAGGTGCATATGTTTCATTTTAATTGTAACATTTGGCAAACATTTCTTTGACTTTTAACTATTGTCAAAAACAAATTTTGCTTTGCATTAGTAATCATTGTATTTTATTTGATTAGCCTCTAGCATCTGCCTTTTTTTTAAAAAAAAGGAAGAATACGATTGTATTTGAAGTTTCTATGATCTCTAGTATCTTTTTTCAGACATCATTGCATCAGATTGCACAGTGTACTGTAAGAAGGTATTTTGTTTGTTTTAATAGATCAGGTGACAAGACTGCATCCAGCAGAATGTGGGATCAAATTACAGAAAGGCAACATAGTGATATCCTGTGCACCCATTCAGAATCCGTGTCTACAAATAGTCTGGGAGTTATATGGTCTCTTGGTAAGAAGAAGCCCAGCATCCTAGGAAGAGTGCAAGTAAATAGCTTTTACAAATCTGTAATCTAATTGTGCAGGATTCTAGTTGCATGATTTGATAGAGTATTAAGTCTGCTCAAAACACAAACTTTCTATTGAAACATCTATGTGTACACTGCAGTATTTTATTCTAAAATAGTTCCCCAGAAATATTGAAGGAATATGGTGGCAAAGTTTTGAAAATAGTGTGTGTGCACATGCATTTGTATGACACACACACACATGTGCACGTAAACAAGTGTGCATACATCTCTATATTATTATTATTATTATTATTATTATTATTATAATAACATTTCTATGCCGCCCCTTGCCGAAACCTCGGGGCGGCTTACAACATGATAAAATACATTGAAATACAATAGTACATAATAAATTACCATTAAATATAAAAATACAAAAAAATACATTGATTTACAAATACAAAATTAAAATTATCAGTATAAAATAAAAATATAGGAGGAGAAAGAGAAGGAAGAAGAAGTTGCCCAGGCCAGATCATATGTTTTAACAATTGAAATGATGTTTAAATAAAAATAGAAATTGCTTGGAATCTACATGTCAGTCCTGTGTCGTCAAAAGTCACTGATTCATCTGCCAGTCACCCACCAAAACTGTTGCAAGATTGAAAAGGGAAGAGGAATTGGGTAGAGTGACAAAACATAAAGGAGGGCAGATATTTGCAAGCACATAATTACTCTGGTGTGCACGCTCATTTAATTTGCTCCATGTTAACTGTGATCAAGCAAGTTGTGCAGATTTAACACAACAAAACACTGCAAAACCTGTTTATCAGAGGTGGCTGCAAAATGAATCTTCATATCATGATTTACAATGCCCCTTTCATTCTACCTCCACTTTTCTAAAACAGTGATAATCTGTCTCCAGCATAATAGGGATTAGAAGAGTAATTTCAGCAGGTGCTGCTTTTGCTCATACTTGCATAATATCATCAGCATCATCAGCATCAGCATCACCTCTCAGTTGCCTTTCTCAAAAAAGGATTGAAAGACTCATATAACAGAATTAAAACACAACAACTACAAAATGATGTTTTGCAAATTCCAAATTCCCAAGCTTTCTTGAACTCTGGGAGTAATTCCCAATTAATTTAGTAATTCTCATGTAAATCTGTCACCTACAAGAGAGCAGAGTATATCAAGAAGCAGTTACAATATATTTTTATTAATGTGCCTCTATAATTATTTTTAATGTCATCCTGCAATGTATTTCTGTATTAAATTTTCAGTACATTGGGGTGTGTGTGTGTTTTTGTGAAAAGGGAGTGGGAATACCTGTTTCTACCTAAGTCCTAAAGGCACAAGAACACTGTTTCTGCATTGTATTTTGATCATCAGGAACTTGGGTGGTCCATATCCAAGCCTCGCACTTCACAAAGTGTTGATGGCAACCTGTCACCCATTCAAAATTTTTAGAACTACCAAGCATGGGAATTGCTCTTAAGGGACTATATATTAAATGTTTCTTTCAGGAGAAAAAAACAACAACTTGGTATTGTGAGTCATTTCAGGCCTTTCTGTGACCTATTGTTTAAGCAAGACTCAAGGATTTCTGTATTAGTGTGACTAACATCTGGTGACGAGAAATGTGGGACCCAGAGGTAAGCGTGGGAAGAGGACTATGAAAAAGCTAAATACAGAAGCCCCCACAAAGGCTTCAAGACATGGAAGAAGCTGTGAATAATCATCATAAATATAATGGTCTGTACAGTACCGTTACAGGCTGTTGGTCACTAACCACCAGGTGTACTCTGAGAACAGTGAGATCACCTAAGAGTGCAAGACCTTGTCAGGCCATACCCAAATAAGGGTGTATGGAAATTGGTACTGAAAAGGAGATGGAAACAGGAACCAAAAACTGCTGGAACTGCTTTGCTGCAACAACAGGATGAGGCCAGGTTCCTGTTGGTTTGGCCACATCTGACCAATTCAGATGCTTTATACTATCACCCAGGTCCAGGACATGGCCCAGTGTTGTATATTCCTATCTCTTTTGGTGCCTGAAGCCTGAGTCCTTCTGTACCTTTGAATTGGGTCATGAATCATATATAACTTTCCTAGTTCCGTGGAATTTCTAAGTGAGAGTGCCCCAAGTGTTCTAGATATTTCAGAACCAATTCTATTTTATTTATTTTTTGTCCTGAGTGTACAAGCACATATGGGGAATAATCTGAACGTTGGCTACTGTAATAACTTAAATCCAGCACTCAGCTACTTCACAAAAAATTCCTATTATGATGAGAAGGGATGACTTTGGCTTTCAATGAATAAAGTCATGCAAGGGGCAGAGTTGAAGTCCTAACACTAGACCAAAAGAGCCCCAAGATTGGGGCCATAGTTTCACACCAGAATTTCAATATTGTTAAAATGTTTTACTATGTTTTGCATTGGAGAACATTCTAAGGGATTTATTAGATTTATAGCATGGATTTTTCTTTTTTTTAAGCATTCAAAGCAGCTTATACAATTCTTTTCCTCCTCTCAATCTTATTCCCACAACAACAATCCTGTGAAGTATGTTGGGTTGAGAGTCTGAGACTGGCCCAAATCACCCAGTTAGCTCCATGGCTTGGCTGAGCAGGGACTAGAATCCAGATTTCCTCAGTCCCAGTCCTGCACTCATAACCACTACACCACTCTCTCTCCCTCTCTCATGGCAGAAAGGCGGTAAATTTTAATTAACTTAATATGTAACATTTTAATATGTATATTGAAATAGGCCAACATTTTATTGCAATGGGCACTTCCATGTACTTTCTGCAGATGACAACAAATGATTGATACAATTCACTTTTTGGTTATGTTATTGGATGACCCATGAATGCAATTTATTAAACTGTTCAATCCCATAGATTTCCTCAGGGTGGAATTTACTTTTTTTTAAATAATTGATTAAGATCTCATATATCTGTTTTACCTACCTGTCTTATAAGACTCTCCAACATATAGCTCATGCCAGACTTTGAGGAGGCTTTTGATATTCTAGACTATGTGGAATTATTGAAGACATACCAGTTAGCCTCTTCCCTCTGCCTTCATCCTGAAAAAAAAACCTAGTAATATAACAAAGATAGCTTATAAAAAGCTAAAGACACATGTTGCGGTCACACTGCTCCTGCTTCCCATAGAAAGCAGAGTATGAAATTGTGACAGTTATGATTTCACAATCATAATCCCTCCTCTCTTGGCACGCTGCTGCTCTGTTAGGCACATTGTAGTGTTGCCAAGCCATTTATATCT